TTGGAGGGTACATTGGGGGTACATTGGAGGGTACATTGGAGGGTACATTGGGGGGTACATTGGGGAGTACATTGGAGGGTACTGAATCTTTATCCACACTAACATGCGATTTAAGTGAAAGTAATACTGACTCGGTCTCCCCTGCATTAATTCTATCTTCTATATGTTTTTCTGCTCCTTCAATAATTACATCAACTGAATATCCAATGTCCTCTAACTCTTTGTCTAATGTATATATTACTGTATTAGTCTCTTCATTGTCCTCAGTCATGGCATACACTCCTTTCAAACTATCGATAATCTTTGTAATAATATTCATGTCAGAATTAATTTAATGTACGGCTCTTCTTACAGCATTCTTGCTAGGTAGTGCCACATCTTGTGGTCGATTTTCAATAAGGTCACTCAACTGCTTTTTGGCTTTAGTCATTCTACTTTTGGCTAATTTCTTATTATTTCGTAGACTTTGAATCTTTGTACTTACGGTACTTCCACTTTTAACGCTTTCTTGGTCAATAAGGTCAGCTTGCATAGTTGTCGTTGTCTCAGATATGTCTTTTTCCTGCCCTTCGGCCATGTTTGTCTTAGTTGACGCCAATCGTATTAAAATAGCAAAATTTCTCACTCGTTTGTCAATAGATCCGGCTCCGAAAAGGACCAAATGTTCTCGTCTGTTAGAACGGTCGTTAAATAGTCTGTATACAAGGCAGATTCTCTTTATAATTGTCAAATAACTCTTTATTTCTTACCGATTTAAAAATACAAAACACGCTGTCTTAAAATCAACACTAAAAGACGCCCGCATTACGCAAGCGCAGCGGTTATATATGTCTTTACTTTATATTACAGGGGACGATTCGTTCCTTAACAGGAGAAGTTACCACAAACCCGCACCCTGCCAATAGTTACACCCCTCCCAAAAATTACACCACACCACAGTTTAATTACAGTGCGTCTACAGTAAATGAAGCCACTTAGAGAACAATGACCAATCAGATTGCAGAACAGAAATAGAATTCTAATCAAACCACAGCTCGTCCATTCAGAAGAATGCACGGAATTCGCTTCAGGAAGCCAGTAAATGCAGTGTTTACTTTTCAAATCTATTTTCACCGTTTGACATTCGTTTATTAATTTGTTAAAATTGTTTTTGGCCTAATGCTGATTGGCTAATGCGCCGTTTGTTGATTCTTTGTGTTTCGTTAGCTGTACCACAGAATAAGAAGGTACAGCAGATGCGTCACTCAAGCAAGTATTTGTCCGCGCTTTTACAAGCGATTGGTCATTATTCACGCCATCCTGGCTAGTACAACCGGCACTTTGTACCTACCAAAACCTGATAAAACTTCCGGTTGTACTAGCCAGGATGGCGTGAGCGAGTTAAAATTTTCGTGGACGTAAAACAATAAGAGAACCGACTCGAGTGACGCTTCTGCTGTACCTTCTTATTTTGTGGCTGTACAGACCATGGACTTCCATAATACAGACGGGTTAAAATATTATTTTTATGTGCATGCCTTTTGCATTCTTACAAAATTACACTTAAAATAAATGTATTTCTCAATTTGAAAAACTAAAACGACAGAGAAGTGTCAAGGAATTTAAATTGTCACGAAAGAAATTTGCATTCGCAGCCGTTCCGCATGGCCATTCCACCTTTTTCATTCACCGCAGTGTATTAATGCTCAGTCCGAACGGTGAATTATTTCCGTTTACGAAAATCACACTCAAAGGGTGTGTAAACGCTTTTGGCAATGCATGCCACGTGTTTATATACCCCGTCGGAAAATTTGTTGATTTTGATTGGCCACCTTATTTTATAACCCAAACTCTTGAACTCTTCCAAGCTTGGTGGGATAAACGGATCATATCATTTATCCAATCAAATCACGAGCTTTTTTGGATCGTGATCTGATTTGTTAAAATGAAGGCGAACCAGAAAGTAGACGGGTACCTACAAAATGGCGAAATAGCTGGTATCCTGGCGTGAAACTTAAACCTTAGAACTTAAAATAGTTTAAATTAGGTTTTTAATCGTGTTTATAAATTTGATATGACATAAACAAGTAGCAATGCTACATTTTTAGGTTCTTATAAGTTAGATAAAAAGCACAAAACACACTGCTAACTTTTTTAGTTGCAATTCAGTTGATCGGTAAATTAGAAGATCTGTTTTATATCGAAGGATATTAAAAGGGCTGTATTTGCTCGAAACGACGATTGTCGCTTTGCATTTTCAGGTAGTTGCAATCACTATCAAAGAAAGCTTGTTATTATTGGCACTACTTGACTACGGGCGGTCCCTCCTTTCCGCAGATTCGCAGGCTAGCACTAGAGAACTTGCGATTTTAGGACGGCAACGCGACGTCGAAGGCCAAAACAAACTCCTTCAAATAAATGGTAGTAAAGTTAATTCGTCGTATACTATCAATCATATGAATTCAATACAGTCTTAGAAGTTGAAGACATCGGTTTTATGGTTGGGAAGAGTTCTGCTGAACCCAGTTTGAAATTGCACTTGTTGCGGCTCAGTGCCTTTTTTAAGGAATTTTCACTGGGGGGGGGGGGCAAAACAGGAAAAAAAGGCAGAACGAAAAATATGAGCCGTCGAGGTTTGGCGAACACGCGACTGGTGCGAGTCTGAAGAGAGATTTTGTAAAGCTTTAATTTATTAACTTCAGCTATATTTTACTTGCAACCTCACGCCGAAGGCATGGAGGGTCCGAAAAACTTTGAAATCTAGGGTCCCTGAATTGCGATTTCATGCATTTTGCAGAATTCCGAAGATTATAACGTACATCCAAGACATGAATTTTTCCAGACATTTCTACTCGGAATTAAATAAATTGGAAAAGTCACCTTGAAAAATAGGAGGAGGGGTCAGTGTCACCTTATTTCCCCTCTGTTATGCTGGGGGGGGGGGATCCCAATGTGATTTTGAACCTAAAGAAAACCCAAATTATGATTTTTGAAAAAAGGAAAACAAAAAAAGCGAAGCCAATTTTCACACTAGGAAATGAAAAGATATCTGTTGTACAGGAATACTGTTACCTAGGCATAAAGCTTAATCACAATGGTAATTTTTCCTTGGCTATCAAACAGCTGAGTGAAAAAGCCCTGCATGCGCTCTATAGCATCAGAAGACGGCTCAATCTACACCAACTTAACCCCAAATCTGCTATTAAAATTTTCGACAGCATAATTTGCCCCATTCTTCTGTACAATGCAGAAGTTTGGGGTGTATATATCAAAAACGATTTTATCAATTGGGATAAACTGCCGGTTGAAAAAGTACACTTAAAATTCTGTAAGCTCTACTTGGGCGTTGGCAGAAAGACGAGTAATATCGCCTCAAGAAGCGAACTGGGAAAATATCCATTAACTATCAATATATTCAAAAGAATCTTCAAGTACGTCACTCATCTTAATTCACTTCCTGAAACAACCATTTCAAAACAAGCTTTCCTCATATCAAAAGATTTATTTATTAAAAAGAGCAATTCTTTCTATGGAAAAGCAATGGATATAGTGAAAACCTTGAATTGTAATAGAGCAATCCCTGACCTAGATTCACTTACAACCAATCTAGTTGAATCATGCGTTAAAGATACTAAAGAAAACTACCAGAGATTCTGGAGACATAAACTTGAAAACTCATCCAAACTTACCTTCTACACAAGCATAAAGGAAGACTATGAGCTTGAAACTTATTTGACTACCATAACTAATTCAAACCAAAGAAAACATTTAACACAGCTCCGACTAAGTAACCATAAACTAATGATTGAACTCGGTAGATACGAAAACATTCCGCGAGAAGACCGAATATGCAAGGTCTGCCAGGCAGGAGAAATTGAAACGGAACATCACTTCCTAACATCCTGTGAAGCCTATAGTAGTCTCTGAGAAAACTTTTTAAATGACTTGGAAAGTGATCCCACCAATGAAACAGATTTAAACGAACACAGTTTATCAGTTGAGATAATGAAATCAACTGATAAAGAAACCGTGATAAAATTATCAAAATTTATCTCTTTATGTTTTGAGAAGAGATCTAAATGCCTTGAAGCTCGGAATGCTGACAGTCAATAGGCTATCGAACTAACTCCCAAACTTCTTCAATTACATATACTGTATACTGTAAATAGAGTATTCATTTGTTAACTATGCCTTTCTTTATATCAATAACTTCATTTTTATTTCTTGTATTACTCACAGTGTCATATTACCACAGAACATTTTGCATTTGTAACTATTTATAATTAACTAATAAGCTTTAGCAATACTTGTATGTGAAGTCATGCTAATAAAGCCATTTGTTACTGTTACTGTTAATTGGCAGGGGTATAAATCTTATCTTTCACTTATATAGGGGTGGACACCTTATGTTGCATATAGGGGCAAGGGTATAAACCTTATCTTACACTTATATAGGGGTTGACACCTTATGTTACATATAAGGGCAGGGGTATAAACCTTATCTTACACTGATATAGGGGTGAATGCCTCATGTTGGATATAGGGGCAGGGGTATAAACCTTATCTTACACTTATATAGGGGTGAACTCCTTATGTTACATATAGGGGCAGGGGTATAAATCTTATCTTACCCTTATATAGGGGTGAACACCTTATGTTGCATATAGGGGTAGGGGTATAAACCTTATTTTACACTGATATAGGGGTGGACACCTTATGTTGGATATAGGGGCAGGGGTATAAACCTTATTTTACACTGATATAGGGGTGAACACCTCATATTTGGGCAGGGGTAAAAACCTAATGTTACACATGAACAGAGTGTTTTCACACAATTTCGAGTTTTCCCAATTTCCACAAGTGTTGATATAACTATATGTCAATACGGAAAAAAATTTTATATTTGTTTTCTAATATAGCACAAAGAAATATAAAGAAAGAAATTTTCCATTGTTTCCGTATTGACATTGAGTTATATCAACAGGGCTCTTAGCCAATCAGCATTCATAATTTACAAATGCTATGTTATAAGAGGTTTCCATGTCTGCCCCTATATACAACACAAGGGTTCACCCCTATACAGTATCAGTGTCATAAGATAAAGTTTTTACCCTTGCCCCTATATGGAAGTATAGGTATTCACCCCTATATAGGGGCAGGGGTGAACACTTTATGTCCATATAGGGGCAGGGGTGAACACCTTATCTTACAGAGAGATAAGGTGTTCACCCCTACCCCTATATGCAACATAAAGTGTTCACTCCAGCCCCTATATGTAACACGACTCGTACTGGAATTAACTTGAAAATATTACGTCACTTTCTCTGTCTTTAATTAAACATTGTGTCATTATGTTTGACCCTATATGTAACATACCTTGTAATAATGTTGGGAGCATTGCAGCTAATCAGTTAATTTTACTCATCGTAGGCAACATCAATTCAACTATGTAACAAAATACCAATGTGTACAAGCTAATCAAGTCCAACGTATTGTCATTTTTGGATGTTATAAAATAGTTCAACTGGATTTGGAGATGAAGTACTTGAAAAGGTTAGCTCCAATTAGTTGTGTATTGTTAGCAAACTCAGGCATAAAAAAATACCTGTGGCTCCGGTTTCATATCATGAAAAAATTAGGGTCGGTAGGTCGGAAATATATTTTTTTTGAATATTTTTTTTCATGGTTTTGGCAGGGTTTTTTCTGGGCCAGTTGCAGAGAGATGCGTATTTCCTATGGAAAAATGTAGGCAATTCGGTTCAATAATTAGTGTGACAACAGACGCCACTTTGGCATGCTGTATGAGAAGCCCGCAACCACCTGGAGAAAATAAGGTCGCACGGTCAATCGCGTTGAAAAAATAATAGGGTCGGTAGAAAAAAATAGGGTCGGTCGGGAACCGGAACCACAGGTATTTTTTTACCCCTCAGTACTATGATTATACAAGAATGATATGAAAATGTTCCTTCAATGGTCGCCCTTTCCATTTCAATCAAATTGATCAAAGCTGTTTTTATGAGTCGAAAGTTATTGTTTTGATGAGAGGAATCGTTGTCGATAATTTTCAGAAAGTTTGGAGCGGGTTGCGGCCACTTGGTGAACACATTATGTTACATATAGGGGCAGGGGTGAACACCTTATGTTACACAAAGGGGCAGGGGTGAAAACCTTACCTTACACTAATATCGGAGTGAACACAGGGATGGATCCAGCATGATCTTGTAGGGGGTGCTCTGTTGCGGAGTGCCGAGTTGTCTTACACTGATATAGGGGTGAATGCCTTATGTTACATATAGGGGCAGGGGTATAAATCTTATCTTACACTGATATAGGCATGAACACCTTATGTTGCATATAGGGGCAGGGGTATAAACCTTATCTTGCACTGATACAGGGTGAACACCTTATGTTACATATAGGGGCAGGGGTATAAACCTTATCTTACACTGATATAGGGATGAACGCCTTATGTTTCATATAGGGGCAGGGGTATAAACCTTATCTTACACTGATATATGAGTGAACACCTTATGTTACATATAGGGGCAGGGGTATAAACCTTATCTTACACTGATATAGGCGTGAACACCTTACGTTACATATAGGAGCAGGGGTATAAACCTTATCTTACACTTATATAGGTGTGAATGCCTTAATTATGTTACACATAGGGGCAGGGGTAAAAATTTTATCTTACACTGATATAGGGGTGAATGCCTTATGTTACATATAGGGGCAGGGGTATAAACCTTATCTTACACTGAATTAGGCGTGAACACCTTATGTTGCATATAGGAGCAGGGGTATAAACCTTATTTTACACTGATATCAGGGTGGACACCTTATGTTGCATATAGGGGCAGGGGTATAAACCTTATCTTACACTGATATAGGCGTGACCACCTTATGTTACATATAGGGGCAGGGGTATAAACCTTATCTTACACTGATATAGGGGTGAATGCCTTATGTTGCATATAAGGGCAGGGGTATAAACCTTATTTACACTGATATAGGGGTGACCACCTTATGTTACATATAGGGGCAGGGGTATAAACCTTATCTTACACTGATATAGGCATGACCACCTTATGTTACATATAGGGGCAGGGGTATAAACCTTATCTTACACTGATATAGGGGTGAACCCCTTATTTTACACGTAGGGGCAGGGGTATAAATCTTATCTTACCCCTATATAGGCGTGAACACCTTATGTTACATATAGGGGCAGGGGTATAAACCTTATTTTACACTGATATAGGGGTGGACACCTTATGTTGGATATAGGGGCGGGGTATAAACCTTATCTTACACTGATGTAGGGGTGAATGCCGCCTTATGTTACATATAGGGGCAGGGGTATAAATCTTATCTTACACTTATATAGGAGTGAACGCCTTATGTTGTATATAGGGGCAGGGGTATAAATCTTATCTTACACTTATATAGGGGTGAACGCCTTATGTTACATATAGAGGCAGGGGTATAAATCTTATCTCACACTTATATAGGTGTGAACACCTTATATTGCGTATAGGGGCAGGGGTATAAACCTTATCTTACACTGATATAGGGGTGAACACCTTATGTTACGCATAGGGCAGGGGTAAAAATTTTATCTTACGCTGATATAGGCGTGAACACCTTATGTTACATATAGGGTCAAGGGTATAAACCTTATCTTACACTGATATAGAGGTGAACACCTTATGTTACATATAGGGCAGAGGTATAAACCTTATCTTACACTGATATAGGGGTGAACGCCTTATGTTACACATAGGGGCAGGGGTATAAACCTTATCTTACACTGATATAGGGGTGAACGCCTTATGTTGCATATAGGGGCAGGGGTATAAACCTTATCTTACACTGATATAGGCGTGACCACCTTATGTTACATATAGGGGCAGGGGTATAAACCTTATCTTACACTGATATAGGGGTGAACGCCTTATGTTGCATATAGGAGCAGGGGTATAAACTTTATCGTACACTTATATCGGCGTGAATGCCTTGATTATGTTACACATAGGGGCAGGGATAAATATTTATCTTTCACTAATATAGGCGTGACCACCTTATGTTACACATAGGGGCAGGGGTATAAACCTTATGTTACACTGATATAGAAGTGAACACCTTATGTTACATATAGGGGCAGGAATATAAATCTTATCTTACACTGATATAGGGTGGACACCTTATGTTACATATAGGGGCAGGGATATAAATGTTATCTTACACTTATATAGGTGTGAACACCTTATGTTGCATGTAGGGGTATAAACCTTAGGTGGTATAAACCTTATATATTATATAACCAGGGGTATAAACCTTATCTTACACTGATATAGGAGTGAACACCTTATGTTATGTACATATAGGTGCAGGGGTATAAACCTGATATTACACTGATATAGGAGTGAATACCTTATGTTACATCAGGGTTACATATAGGGGCAGGGGTATAAACGTTACCTTAAACCTTATGTTACATATAGGGGCAGGGGTATAAACCTTATCTTACACTGATATAGAGGTGAACACCTTATGTTACATATAGGGCAGATGTATAAACCTTATCTTACACTGATATAGGGGTGAACACCTTATGTTACACATAGGGGCAGGGGTAAAAACCGTATCTTACACTGATATAGGAGTGAACACCTTATGTTGCATATGGGGCAGGGGTATAAACCCTATCTTACACTAATATAGGCATGAACAGCTTACGTTACATATAGGAGCAGGGGTATAAACTTTATCTTACACTGATGTAGGGGTGAACGCCTTATGTTACACATAGGGGCAGGGGTATAAACCTTATCTTACACTGATGTAGGGGT